TTGCAGACTCAATTAAATTTCCAACTTCAGCAAAGAGCTGACAGTGTTTTTAAATTCAAGACGGAGCTAAAAAAATAAATTCAGAGTTTTTGGAATTAATAGGAATTTTAAAAATTAAATTACAGACTCAATTAACATTCCCACTTTTAATTTTCTCCAACAATGTGCTGAATATTTATAATTAGATCAATTAAAACTAAAAAAATTAATTATTAATCTCAAATTTCAATTAAATTTCATGTATGCAGTAATTTTACTTTCCATTTTGGTTGATTTTTAAAACAAAAATTACAAAATTTAGTTTTAACATTTGAAACTTCTTTTGGTTTTTGTCTGGGTCGGTTGGGAAGAAAAACAAGGACGCTGGCTTGTTGTGGAATGAATAAAGGAGGCGCTTTGTGAGGCGAGGTGGGTGTCTGTCGATCGAGAGGCGTTCAAAATAAAAAAGAGAGAAAGACTCAGTCGGTCGGTCGGACCGCGCGCTGCACGTGATCGGATGTGCTGAATCATTTCAAATAATTTCATTAGCTGTCTTTTTAATAATAATTCTGTGTTATTGTTCTTTGTGTGTGTATCAGTTCTAAACAGCAGACGTTTAGCTCTTTGCACTTGACGTGCGGACGGACGCACCAGGCAGGCGCCAAGGCAAATTCGAATGGCGGCGCGCGAGACAAAAATTTATTTATCCACCGAGTGTGTTCGTAAGCGAGAATAATTTATCCAGCATCTGCAGCGAGCAAAAAAGTGGTGCCGCAAAAAAGCTGCCGATTGATTCCCGTTTGTGGTTTCAACGGGCGCTTTTTATTTACATAAAATTGCCTAAAAAAGACTTTAGATCAAACAATTTTCTTAATGTAATGAATTTTTGATTGGAAAATACTTTCCAGTTTGAAATAGAAATATTCAAATTCAAGGAATTAGGACGTTGCAATAAATTAAATTAATTATCATGAAAAATATTATTTTATTATTCATTCAATTAAAAAATATTTAATTTTAAACCGTATTTTAAAGAATATTTGATTGTGAACACATTTCTTTGATAAAAATATCAAAATATAAGGATTAATTGCTAAAATTGAATTCAATTTAAAGTTTTATATTTTTAATCTGAAAGGAACTTGAGGAAATTTTGTAGAATGCTGCGCCCTACTGGAGGCACGCGAGGTATGCAACTGCTTCATTTCCACCCGCGGGTTTTACGACTTTTCTGTCTCCGAAGAGTTGCACAAGCGGTAAGTGAAAATAATAATTAAGACAAGCCGTCGGTCTCGTTTCTTCGAGAGGTTCTATTTTTATTCGTGCTGGGAGTTTTTCGGAATCATGATTTCGTCGCCGTCGTGGTGGATCAAATTACTCGGCGCGCGCGTTTTACGACTTTTCAATTGTTTATAATAAAAATCGGTCATAAAATTTTTAAGTGCCGGTGAATGCTCGTGGAAAAAAATCTATAAAAAGGGGTTGTTGACACATGCCGTAAAAGGGACGCTGCTTTAAAACAGATTGTTTGTGGGGTAGGAAAATCTCTCAAAAATGTTTCTTTCCTTTTTGAGCCAGGACAAGGTTAAATAGTTTAAAGGGCAAGACAAGTTTATAGTAAAGTTTCAAGATTTATGCAACGATAGCATTCTACAAATGTGTAGGAAACTAGAAAAAGAATTGATTTCATTTTAAATTCAAACCGAAATTGGTTAAGATCATGATCTAACGTTAAAAATTAGGAGCCATCTTTATTAAAATGGCGGCTAAAATGGCAAGATAAATTTTGGTTTGAAAATATCGTTGCAACATATCTTTGGAACCGTCTTAGTATTAATAATTTTATTTTATAAAAAATTATAAAAATTTTATTTTTCAAAAGAAATTTAGTTAAGAAGTGCCGATGAACTACTAATAATCTAAATTATGATCGTAGGGTCATGTTCAGGGAGTTGCCGTTGTTTTGTAATTATTATCTGGCAAAATTAATTATTTGAACAAAGAAATCTGCTTAGAAAAAAATGAAGAGTTCCATTTAAAAGTTTGAATTTGGACATTTTCATTCATTTTGTTACTCACTTTCTGAATCCACTTTTAATTTCTTTTTAAAATTAAAACGGAGACTGGAATACACACTTAAAAATTCAAAGACAAAAAAAAAAACATTCACATCGCTACAATTAATTATTATTAAATTCAGTTATTCTGATTGTAAATAAATTTTATTGTAATTAAAGATGGTGAAATTAAATTCTAAACATGTTTGGTCAGCAGAGAGGTTGGTGACCTCGTCTGCAAAGTAGGTGGCTTGGAATTTTTTCTCGCATGCATTCTGAAGGCGCCGCCAAAATCCGCCTGGCGACTTAGAGCTGTCGGGCGAATTTTTATCACTCCACGAAGACGTGCCCGCAGATCTACGAAATCAATTTGCGCCGTCTGCAGAGATCAGAGAACGAGAGACGGCGGCGGCGGCGGAACAATGCGATTTATTTATCAAATCACACCTACCGCTGCGGCAATGGCCATTTTTAACGCGCGTTCGTACCCTTCACAATGAAAATATGGGCGCTATTTGTCTTTGTCGCGATATCTGGATGACATTTAGAAGTGCCATTATTTTTATTAAGTGCCCCCCTTACTCATAACAAAGTACGTGGCGGCGGAATAAATGGTTGGCCAGCGGGACGAGCATGCAGATGAGCTCGGGATTTTTATCATTACTTTTAAATGCCGGCGACGCATACATAAGCGCAGGGGCACGTTAGAATTTTATTATTTCGTGGCACTCTAAACTCAGGCGTATAATGGCTCCATTTTTTGCAATTACCACGCGCTTCTTTCAAGTGTCATGCGGACCAATTTTTTCTCTTCAACCACGCAACAAGTGCGACAAATTTATTTGACAAAAAAAGGACACTGATCACATTGAAAACAGATTCAAATTTTTAGATAGAAGAAATGTTTCTGCTTCGGCTAGTTGCAATTAAGGATAGCAAATAATGAACTGAAATGTTCTTCAAAAACAAAATATGTAAATTATATAGCAAAAATCTGAAAATTTAGATTCCTATTTTTCCCAATGCCAGTGGCAATATTTTTAATCATATCAATTTCTGATGAATCTTAAAATTTAAAGTCAATTGATCAACTGTGCAAATCTGACTTGTTTCAAAAAATCTGACGCAAATTTATTGGTGGTGCAAAAAAATGTCAAATATGAAAAAGACTCAATTCACCTCAATAAAGAAGAAGTGTTAATTTGTGTTTGTTTCACCGTCTGAAGTTTCCATTAGCTAAACCCATCATTAGAAAGGTCAAGTGGATAATAGTTTTGAACTACCGTCCAAATCAAACGTTTAAATCACCCAGAATCGTGGCCGAAGCACGCCATAGTAAATTGTTTTGCCTATAAAGATCAAGACTAGCTTTTCTGAAGAATTCTGGGTTTTGCTAAAATTTTAATAAATCAATAAAAATAAAGGCAATTAAAAAAATTAAATTATTATGATTACAAGTTTCTTCAGCAATTTCTAGGAATAAGTTTGGACTTTCTTTAGGTTATTTCGTGGAATATTTTCAATTGAATTGCAAAGCACCTGCCCTGCTTATTTGCCGCACCAAAGATTTCCTTCGCTGCTCACATCAGCATTGGGAACGCGGGCTGAAAAATAATGCTGTCACTCTCGGCCCGAGTGAATAATTAAAATTATGCACGCCCACCCAACAATGGAGCGACAATGGGATGCGGCGGAGAGGTCAGTGCGGCGGTGACCTTTCCCACTCCACCCCTCCGCTCTCCTCAGGGTGTGTTTCTTTCTCATTCTACGCAGCCAACCTCGTAATTTAGTAATTTTATATACAATTCCCGCACGGCCGCCGTGATTTATTGGACAACTTTTTGATACATGCGCACGTAAATATTAATAATTAAGCTGTAAATCTCCGGCGCATTATGGCCGGGGTTATATTCTTCGGAAACGCCGGCCGGAATGGAATGGAAGAAAAAAAACACGAGTGAATTTCAATGAGCAGCAGACCTTGACGCGGCCGACCAAAGAGGAGAGATTGGTGAGTTATGAGTGACGATTATTTTCATCATGCTACATTGAGCACAATAAACAACTCCGAAAACGACCTCAAATGCGCTCGCCGTGTGTGTGTGTATAACTTTTGCAGCTTTTTCTTCTCTCAAGAGACGATTCCGCCGAACAATAAAATGTTCAACAACGGTTTTATGACTTCATGTAGCGACGCAAATGTGCGCTTCGTACTCGCGCGAGTGCAAGTGAAAAATGACTGAATGTCTGCAATCGATAAATAAATTTCTCTCTCTGACTGAATAAATTGCCAGCCGAGGCATGCAAACAAGAGGACGTTTTTATTCGCACAAGAAATCAACGGCGATTGCAGCACAATTTAAAGAAAATTTTATGATCCATTGAAAAATTTGACAGATCAGTTTGAATATAAAATCGAATGCAAAAAAAAAAAATGAAATTTTTCTTCAGTCACTAATAAATTTATTTTAAAAGAAATCATTAAATTCTTTTCATAAAAAAATTAGATTTGAATTCAAAGAGTTGCTAAATAAAATCTAGATTTGATTTCAAAAGTTGTTTTTGCTTTCAGAAAACTTTGCAAGTTGCAAAATCAGATAATTTTATTTAAGAAACTTCTAAAAAGCGAAAATTAAACTTTATAAATTTTTATTTTCTGAAAATGGCAAGTCCCTTTAAGTCATAAAGCAGTTCAAATTGCACGCCTTTCAAGGTTCACACACCAAAATTTTAACTTTGTTAAATTATAATTTAATTGAGGTAAAAAACTGAACGGCATCAGCAAAATCGTAATTATGCAAATATCGGCCAAGTTACAAACGCTTTTAATTAAAAAATATGGCCGCCATTTCTAATACCATCTTAGATCCGTAATTTGGATATTGAGATTTTATAAATGGAAAAAAAGAAGAATCAAAATATTTCGCAACGATTTAAAGAGTCTTGAGAGATTGTTGTACTCACCGGTGTCCATGGCGACGAGGGTGAGGACGTACTCGGCCTGGCGCTCGCGGTCGAGGGCGCGGTGCAGCGTGATTTCGCCGGTGGACGCGTTGACCTTGAAGAGTTCCGAGTCGCCCTCCTTGATGAAGTAGCGCACCTGGCTGTAGGGGGGCGTGTCTGCGTCGAAGGCGCGCACCGTGATGACGGAGGCGGGCAGCACCTTGGTGTTCTCGACGACGTAGGCGAGGTACGGCGAGTCGAGGAAGGTGGGCGGGTTGTCGTTGATGTCGGTGACGCCGATGGTGAGCAGCGCCGAGTCGTAGCGCACGTCGGCGCTGCCGCAGTCCTCGGCCTGCACCGTCAGCGAGTACTGGCTCTTGCGCTCAAAGTTGAGGTTCTTGGCCACGCGGATCACGCCCGTGTCCTCGCTGATGCTGAAGTCGCGGTTGCGGTCGCCGGCCGCGATCACGTAGCGCACGCGCCCGTTCAAGCCCGCGTCGACGTCCGTCGCGGAGATGCGCAGGACGCTGGCGCCGATCGACGCGTTCTCGGCCACGGACGCGCTGTACTGCTTCGGGTCAAACACGGGGCTGTTGTCGTTCTCGTCCAGCACAAGCAGCACCAACGGTGACGTCGTCGAACGAGTCGGCTCGCCTCGGTCTTTCGCCGTGACCTGCGGAAATAAAAAAATTACATTTTAGAAAACGCCAAAGTTTGAACTTTCAAAACTGTCATCCGAAGATCTGTTTTGGAAATAAAAAAATACTAGAATATTTCTGAGAATTTTTCTTTTATTCTCTCTCGGCGTTGGAGTTGCTACTCTAAGTGTTGGTACTTCAAGAGCCACTAAGAATGTGTCTTTGAAATATTTTCTGGCGCCAGTTTGCTTCTGTCACCACTAATTGTAAGATTAAGGCGGGGAAATCGCAAGTGAAAGTCCCCCATTGATAACTTTGCTTCTATTCATCCAACAACTAAAATTCAGGAACCGAAATGTTCTTGCTGACGTCCTCATTTCATCCATATATATATGTCACACATGCAGATTATAAATGGTCACCAGGGATCAAATCTTTTCCCACAAGTGCGATCGTTAAAAAAAATATGTACAGAGCATTCTAGAATGTTTTTAAAATTCTCCAATTCATGTTTTTAAACCTAAATTCCAACTTGTCCAAATTTAAGTAAAAATAGTTTGTCTCAGTTGTTACCTGCAGGGTGTAGTTTGCCTTGGTCTCCCTGTCGAGGCGTCCGGACACCCTGAGAAGGCCATCGACCGGTCCGAGCGTGAAGACGCTGGTGGCGCCCTCGCCTGAAAGCGAGTACTCGACGTAGCTGTTGCGTCCTTCGTCCTTGTCGGTCGCCTTGACGGCCATGACGACGGTGTTGACGGGCAAATTCTCTGGCACCGAAGTCTCGTTCGGAGACACAAACTCGGGCGCCATGTCATTCACGTCCTTCAAAACGATCGTCACCTGAAACAACAAAGGGAAAAAGTTTTTTATTACTTTTGTAAGCGAGTAAATAAAAACTTCCTGGAACATGCGTGAAAACAGGGTGTGAAAAGGCAAAGGTTGCCCGCGGCTGGGCTAAAAAGGTGTCAATTCCTGTGCCGCTTTTTTCTTTCAAATTTGCTCTCCTTTTAACGGCCATAAATAAACAAAACCTACAAACAGCTTTTGTGTGGCGCATTTACGAACACGAAACAATGAGTGTGGCTCAAAATGTTGAGATTTTGGTTCCAACTAATTATTTACATTATTTTTATAATTACTTTCCCAAATAATTTGCAAACTGATTTTTAACTAAATTTAATATTTCGCAAATTTCAAATAAATTTAAAACATTAAAAGAAAAAACCTCAGATTTTCCGTTTTAAATATCTTGCATTACAACAAAAAATACTAAATTTCATTTCTAATGACATGTTCATGTTTCCGTTGTTTCATAACTTGAGAAATAAATTGCAAAGGAAAAAATTTTGTTTTTATTTCTAAAATACATAATTATCTAGGAAATTGAATTTACCGTTTGGTTAAAAAGAAATGAGGCTTATTTAATTTCAGGTCAAAGAAACGTCTATTTTGAAGGACTTGGGCGACCAGAAGAAAAGAGAGAAAATGCATCTCACGCTGCTTGGATTCTTTGTAAATCCAAATGAGCGGCTATTTATTTATATTTGAACGCAGAAACTGCGTGGCTCGGAATTCGGTTGGCGGCGGCGCTGTCATCGTGACAACATCATTCGCATTCTACGCGTGCACCGCGCTCTCTTTATATATAATTCTTCGCTGCACCTGTCCCGAGTGCGGGAGCAGAAAAAGCTCACGACTTTCCAGCAAAATGCAGTGCGTCTCGACGAAATTTGAGACGTTTCATCCGAATTGTAAATTCGCGGCGATAAATCTGTCTCAAGGCGGCCGCGCGCTCAAAAAGGCAAGGTGCATGCGGAGCAGAGAGAGTGACAAGGAAGGACGGCCGGATCGTTACTCTGATGCAAAAACTCGCCATTTCGCCTTTTAAAAAATAATAATAGCAGCGCTTCGATCGCAATCACCGAGTAAAGAACCCAGAGTTATGACATGTGATAATTGCGACGGGAAATTATCGTAATCAAGTTTACAGTGTAATTAATTGGTCCGCGTTGAGCAACAGATGCACTTGTCACTTGAAATGGTTCTCACAAGTCACGTGAAGAGGAGGAGTGGAACTAATTTATATGCGATAAGCTTTAGAAATAATTTAATGAGCGGTGTTTGAAAAGCATCAAGAAGATGGCAGTTTTTTTCTAAATTTTAATTAATATTTAAAACTTGTGTCTTAGAGTTGCTAAACTATCAAGGGGTTTGAAGAATGAATTTCCTGAATAAAATTAAAAAGTATATTTTAAAGCCTTGATAAATAATATTATTTTATTATTTAAAGAAAAATTTGAATATTAAAAAGGAATTCATAATACCTAAATTGAAGTAAATAATTACAATTTTCGAACATAATTAAATTTTTCTATAATTCAAATTTTTAATAAACCAATAAAAATTTTATCAATGATTGTTGGCTTCAAAAATTAAAATATTTAATTGAAATAATTACATTTGTTTATAAATTTATATAAATGTTATCATTGAAGTTTGAAATAAAACAATTTCAATAATTGTTTACTTCCAAAAAAATGAAACTGAGACTAATTTTACCTGTACTGTGGAGGAGAGTCGTTGCTGCGGTGGTGCCGCCTGGTCGGTGGCCGTGACCACCAAGCTGTAGAGCGCCCTCTGCTCCCTGTCGAGCGCCCTCGCGGTCACGATGGTGCCGTTTTCCGAGATGGCAAAGTCATTGTCCTCGTCGCCCGACGAAATCGAATACTCCAAGCGGCCGTTGTCACCTGCAACAATCCATCATAAATGCAAATCAGTCGCTGTTGGAAAAGTTCGCAGCACAATCAATCACACCCGAACAACAACAAGTTATTTCGATATTTGGTTCTGCAAGAATTCCATCCATATGACGAGGTAACGGTGAATGAAAAATCAATCTTTTGTGTATCAACAAATAATAACTCCTTGGGTGGAAAAAAAATGATTCCTTGCGGAGGAAAATGAGCGTCTTTTGTACAACAACCAATTAATTGCCATCAAAAGTGATGAATAAAAAAATTAGGCCAAAATAAACATAATAATTTTATCATTTCTATTTTTTGATGAAATTGTTACTGATTTTTGTAATGAATAATAAATTGGATGAATTTGGCATTGCAAGCGTCCTGTATCGAGCCCCCTAGAGCATCACTAATGAGCGGTGGTAGGCGGGCCTACGCATTCGTGTCTAGAGTTCCTGGGTTGGTTTTGGCCCAGGGCGCAATCTGCGTGTGGCTCCGAGTTCTCTACGCGACATGTGTTAATTTTGCGAGTGAAACCCGAGCCTTAAAATGAACGCAGCCGCCGACTCGACCGACGCACTTCAGCTCACAAATCGTCGCGCATTTGCAAACGCACAAGAGCGAACAAGATTGACTTTCACGCTCGGTACATTAGAAGTAAAAGTGGCACGAAACGCCAAAGGTTGGTTTACAATTAATAACAATTAACATTTTTTATTAAAAAAACAAATTGATAAAATGCAGAAATTATCAATATTTAAGACATTAAATCACAAAGAGTTCAAGTTCAAGTGAATTTCAGGTTGGTTTGTCAGAAACAAAGAAGCACAAAATAGATTGTTTTGAAAATGAATAAGAATAATTTTAAAAAATGAATACAAATAATTTAAACGAAAGAAACCGCTCAATTTTATATTTCTAAATCAAAATTTTGAATATTTACAAAAAAAGTCTTGGAATTTCTTGAGATTTTCCAGAAATTTGATGCTAGCGAAGTATCAAATATTTGGGTAGAATATGAGTGGCGCCTTTTTTGGAGTTGTGCGTTTTTCTTTTCGGATCGAATGTTGCACTTTCGCGCAGTCACCCAGCAACTTGTTGTTTGTGTTGGAGCGATTCGAGAGTGGCCCGTGGAGCCGGCTTTATTTATCGCGTCACGCATCACAAACACATCAAAACATGACTTTTGATTATTATTATTGCTGCAAAATCCACATCTCGCAACGGGAGTCCGTTTGGGCGGAGAGAATTTTCAAATTTTTTTCCAATTCCAAATTTTGCCCATCGCATTAAATCACTCGAGTATGACGTCTGTACCTCGGAGGCTCAACAAAGGAAGAATTTGCATACCAAATTACACCTGAGCCCAGCCGACCTGGCAAATATTATCCTCTCCTTTCGCCCATTAATTTTTATTTCGGCCCAGCATTATTTAACTAGGGCTTGTTCTCGCCAAATATTGGCGCACTCAAAATTTATGTCTTCACAAATCGAGCTTTTTCATTTCCAAAATTAAGAATGTGATTTCAATAATAATTACCTTTAAACATCTTCAATGGAAATAGAAAAAAAAAATGAATAATTGGTTCGTGAATGATTTGAAATGTTAACAAACATATTTAATTCAGAATCTCAAAAGCTCACAAATATATTAAAAGGTCCTTAAAAAATCTAAACCGAGCAAAAAGTTAATCAGGCTTACCAACCAAACAAAATTCATACTGAGAAATATTATCCAAACGTATTTTATTTTCTTTCCAATTAATTTTTTGGCTTAATAAAATTGAAATTATTTAAATATATTCCTGTTTATGCAAAGCTAATAAGCTTCTTGGTGCATTAAAAAACCTTAATTTCAAAGCTTTTTTCCGTATTGAAATATTTTCTAACTAAAAAATGGAAGCGTTGAGAATAACCATGCATTAAATTCTCCGCACGAAGCGCCAGACTTCTTCTTTTTCTCGTGCACTTTTCCTTCTTTTTTATATCGAATATAATGGCACGGTGTGTCATACAACGCGTGTAGCTCCAATTAGGACTTTTATTATTACGGGCTGCAGTAGCACCGGCCAATTATGTGTGTGTGTGTGTGTTGCAGAAAGTGCAAAACGAGTAGCAGCGGAAAATACACGAAGAACGAAATTACAGAGAGCGAGCGCGCAACATTGTGGCAAAATAAAGGTTTTTGATTGACGCGTCCGGGTGACACGCGCGTAATGGATGAGCAGCCCTTATCTTGCTCCGAATTATTTCGAGCCGACACACACAAAGTTGCCGATTCGATGCAGCAACAAGCGGCGAATTAAAACCAATCTTTGCAGAGCACTTCAAGGGCATGAGGTTGCGAGTTTGTTGCCGCCTTATGAAAATAATTCAACTTTATATTGCTTCAGAGAGTCGCGAGAGATGTGCATTGACAGTGGTTTTGATGGAGATTTATTTCTACATTCAATTCCACTGACGCGAGCAAGGATGTTTTAATTAAAATCAAATGTTGAATTAAAATCCCCTGTGAAATTATATTAAAAATGTTTTAAAATCACTAAGGAAATTACTGTTCTGTAATTATAGATAATATTTAAATAATTTTATAATAATTAAAGTAGATCTACAATGTTGGCCAAACAGACAAGGAAGTTAAAGAAATCGGCCAATCAGAGAGACTTCTTTGTTCTTAAAAATTTCCCCACAAACTTCAGTTTTTGGTCTCCAATGGATTCTTTGTGACTCGATTTTTCAATTTCATTTATTAATTTTAATTTGGTGAGTAATTTTAAAAGTTGATATTTTTCAATATTTGCTTGGTCAGTCTATTTATTTTGCTAAAATTTTCCTCAAATTTTGTACAAAATAAACAACGGCTCCCGATTTTTTATTTATTTTTTTTAATTCAAATTAAATATAAATTGTTCACTCACCAGAGTCGAGGTCGGTGGCGCTGACTTTGACCACTCTGCTGCCGATGGTGACGTTTTCAAAGATTTCGTTGCTGTAGCTCATGGGGTCGAAGAGGGGCGCGTTGTCGTTGAGGTCGACGATGTTGAAGTAGACGGTGACCGTGGAGGAGAGACTGGGTCTGCCCGTGTCCTGCGCCTGCACCACGAAAATGTAGTGCTGCACCTGCAATAACGAGTGAATGTTTGTTTATTGCTTTTCCTCCGTGTTTGGTCAGAGGCAGCTGAGCGTGATTGATGCTTCTCGAGTGTAAAAACAAAAAACTATATGAACTGCCGGCGCGCGCAATTAACTTAATTAAATTATGTTATTAAGAGGCAATGGAATGAGAAGTGCGGTGCCCTAGTGCAAAACTCGACGGCTCTGACTTGTTTTGATTTTCTGAACTTAAATAATTGAAAAAAAGAAAAAAAAATTATTAAAAATAAAGTTTCAAGTTTTTTTAATAATTAAAATCTTCTAAATGTTTCTTTGGTATCATTTGATTACCATAATTTTGATTTCAAAGATTCGTTACAAAACTCTAAAAAATTTATAAATTCAACTCATCTCTGCATGGTATGCACACACAAAAATTTGAAATTTCCGGAGTTTTGGCAAAACCTTTGCTAAAGTTTTATACTTCAATTTTTATTATCATTAAATTATGAATCATTCCGTTAAAATTTCGAGAAAGAGTTGAAAAATTTCATCACTAAATTAGAGGAATAACTGTTATTTGCTTTAATTGTAAAACGGCGTTGGAATTTAAAGCGGATCGCATATCTGGTCCGCGGGTGCGATTTAAAATAAACTCAATTATCACGGCGGGCGCTAATGAAAGCCTGTTTATTAATTGTCGGCAGATCGATATCTGGCAATAATTTCATACAAACTGCTCAGCCCGGCTGCCGAATTAATTGCGAAGGCCGCGCGCCAAAGCAAACAAGTGAGAAAAATAAAAAAAATAAATGTTTCTGGCGAAAAGCGGTGATTGATTTTGGGCGGCGCGACCTCTCGAACTTAGAAACAGAATCGATTGTTTTTTAATTCCAACACGACTTCTTCCTTCAAGTGGATCGAGCTACTAAACCACCAACACATCTAATTGTCTTTTATTACAGTAATTTTCGAGCAATAAAACCTTAATAATATAGTTGACAAAGCTTCCGAGAACGGCGGCCCCGCCGAACTATTAATTGCGCACGTGTTGGATCGTTTATTGAAGCTCGTAAAAATTTATGCAACCGACTGCATTTGTAAATTAAATAAGATTAAAAGGCGCACGTTGGTTTTATCGGATGAAGATAAGAAACTTTTATGAGAGGAAGATGTTGTTTAGTTTAAAAGGAATAATTTTTACTTAACAATTCGTGCCGAAATATGAATTATTGTTAGTTGCAAAATAATTAATTTTTTTACAGCGATCGCTCCATATTTCCAGTCAAATTTCTGGCAAAAATTAGTCAATTGTAGTTGATTTTATATTATTATTAGGTTCAATTTAATTTTCATGTTTATAATTTTATTCCGACTTAACTATTTATTTTTTTAATTTTATAATGAATTTTGAATTTATATAAATTATAAATTTTTTATTAATATTTTGTTCAGTTTTGTATATATTAAAGTGTTTGTGGTATAAATTGAATTATTATTATAAATTTGTAATTTCAGATTGAAGCATAAAAACTTTTGATTTAGTAGCAAAGTTTTTGGCGAAAAATCATCATGGCCGTTGGGAGGAATGCGGCGTGCCTGCGGCGGCCCCCACGGAAAACAACTTGTTTTACAGGGTCGCCTGTCACTTCGTGTTTTACCGCTCGAGCTGCCTCTTTGATTAAGGCGCGCATCCAAAATTTATTTATTTCACGAACCTCTTCGTAGTCGAGGCGCGACGTCAGGGTGAAGACGCCGCTCTGGGGGTTGAGCGAGAAGACGTCGTTGGCCCAGTCAGAGATGACCGTGTACGTGACCTGGCCGTTGGTGCCCTCGTCCAGGTCGGACGCGGCCACCTCGCCCACGCGAGACCCGCGGGCCGTGTTTTCCGGCACGTCAAACGAGTACGCGCTTTCCGAGAACACCGGCGGGTTGTCGTTCGTGTCAGTCACCTGTGAAAATAACATTGAACAATCAAATCATCTTTCAAACAAATTAAAACAAATTAAATATTGTAAAATTTCTGTTTCAATTTGACTGAAAATATAAATACAGATTGAAAATTTACTTTATTTATAAAAAAAAATTAAAAATTTGGAATTTCAATTAATTTACAATTTTAACTCTCTTCCAAATTAAATTTGAAATAAATAAAAGCCAAATAATTGAGCATCAAAATCTAAGATGGGAAGAGATTGAGTCACAATTTAAATTTCATATTCTTGAATGTAATGAACGAAAACTAAGCCTAAGAGAGGCTGCAAAAATCAGAATTAACTAATTTTGTACTTTGTAATAATTATAGAAACAAGCTTATAATTGTAAAACTAATTTTAGGAAGACAAATTAGCTTTAGACACCCGTTGTACACCTAGTTGTGTTCAATAAATACTCTATCTATAATTTAAATTTGTATTAATGTTGAATAATTTAGTTCGTTGTTGCGTTTTTCATCAATAATTAATAAAAAATGAGGATTAATTAATTAAAAGATATATACGGATTGTTTAAAATTGTTGAAATCATTGCTGTCCCAGCTTTTGATTCTTAAAATTTACACGAAATCAATTTTACTTTTTAATTAATTTAAACTTTTTATTGTTTCTATTGGTTTCTATCAACAATGTGCGGATCAATAACAGATAATCCAAACTATTTCAAGGCCCTGTTTCTAAATTTAGTTACTGATATAGAATTTATATATTTTAAAAGATTTTTTGTAATTATAGATTATTATTATTGCCAAAAATAAATTATTTTCCAGCCGGTCTGCAGATTTGGCGAATCAAACTGATAGCGAACCCTCGTCACGCGCTCCATTGTCTTCATAAAGAACCTCCTTTTTTTGCTGCCCGTTTTTTGCAGTTCTTTTCGGTCGCTGGGCCCATTAGCGGCGGGCGGCTGATTAGAAATAGCCCCTGTGCGGCCGGCAACCGGTGCCGCACTCTTTTTTGCGTCCGACAGAGACACGCCGGCCGGCATGCCGAGCAAACCAGCCTTGGTACAATGAAAATCTTGTTTCTCGCGTCTTCTTGCTCTTGAAAAATTGACATTCAAGATTTCTCTACTTTGTATTGAACCGAAAATCATAATTGACTTTTTATTTATAACATTTATTCCATAAATTTAGAGATTTTTTACAAATGCAAAATTAAAAGTAATGAGGTTTTCATGACATTAAGTAGTAGTATTTAATTAAATTAATTTTCTAGTAAAAAATTTATACTTCGTTTTCATTAAAATAATGGTTGATTTAATTAATAGTGTATTAAAAATTTAAACAGCTTTTAAATAAAATAATATTCCAAAATATATTTGTTTTTTATTCGAGAGTTTTTATATTTAATTTAAATAAATAATTTTTGCAATTTTAAATAAAAATCATTACATTTCTTTCAAAAAGTGAAATCTCCCGGCCCTTTCTTCTCTGTCGGTGAACAAAATCTTGGCAAAGAGCCTTGACTGGAATTCGATGCGTGCAATTTGCTGCGTTTTTAAGTGGCGAGCGAATCGATTTTTCTCCCCTCTCTGGAATGAGGTGTCGATTTTTGCGCGCTCATTATCGGCGTGAATTACTTCTTGCTCGCGCGCGCATGCAACTTGGAAACGCGCGTGTCGAGTAAAGATTGGCAACGAGCGAACATTGCATGTTGAAATTAATTAGCTACACCATAACTTTATAATAAACATAAATCTCGCGGGCGCTCCGAATCGCTCGTTTCGAACTGATTGCAAAATGTTCACCGCATTCGTCGATCGTTAATGAGGAACTGCAAATGAGAATAATAAATCTGCAGCAAAAAACCAGGCTTACTTTCGATGAAGAGAGGGCAAAATAAGTTTGTTCATTTTTAATTGCCGACATATTTTCAAATATTTATGAAGAGCCAAAGACTTCTTAAAATTATAAAATGCTAAAAATACATAACAATTTAAATGGAAATAATACAAATACAAACGAAATCTTATTATACGGGAAATTTATGTGAAAAATATGGAGAGATCTCTATTTATATTTAATTCTATTATTTTTCAAGAGGAATAAAATTGATTGATAAAAATTTATATAAAAATCAGATTTACTCTTAAGAAAAAAAAATTAAATTTTAAAATTTGGATTGCAACCAATTAATAAAGATAAACTGAAAAAAAAATTGTGATAAATATTGTGTTATTTCTGATTTTAAACTACTTTTTGTTTCAAAATTTGAAAATCAAATATTATAAAAAGTCAAGATTTTTTTCTAACCATTTAAAAAATTTCCATCTCGGTGTGTGCAGCCCATCAACAATTCATAATTAATAAATAAAAGTGCTGGTTGAGCGATTCTGCTTGTCAATTGGATGAGAAAAAACCAACAGGCAGTTTTGTTCAGTGAATGCGTCGCTAATGAGCGTGGATTTATGCAAAAGAGATTGATCATTCTGCGAGAACACGCGTCTCGTTTTGTAACTCTCGGATTGCGTTTCAATCAAAGAATAGTTCATCGGCCCCGGACGAAAAATTCCGAATTTCGAAATGCACACGGATAATTTTTTTCCGACTTTGGCAGATGCTGACATTCAATACGCGGCAAAACCGGCCCGCGTATTGTTTGTTTTTTGAAAGCGCCGCAGACGGAACCGCAAAAGCAACACGCTCTCTGCTTCTTTAGTTTCTGCCTCTTTTTTTGCTCAAATTTTCTTTTCAATCAAACAAAATAAATAAATAAATACGACTGAAAAATCTTTTTTATGACTTTTAACCAAATTCCGCCAAAACCCTAAAATTTGTTTTTATTTTTATTAAATAATTCATAACTTTTTCAGTAATTTGCTGCTAAATATTTTTGCCTAAAAGAATTTAAATAAATTTGTTTGCAGTTTTTAAAAACTTTCCAGAATTTGCTTTCCTATCAAAATTTCAAATACTTTCTAATGTTCTTTATTTCAATAATTTCAATTAATTTTCAGATAATTTGCATACCTTGATGGTGAGGGTGGTTTCCTGGAACTGGAGGCCGTCGCTGGCGCGCACCTTGACCTTGTACGTGTCCGCGGTCTCGCGGTCGAGCGGTTCTCGGAGGCGCAGCTCGCCGGTCACCGAGTCCAACTGGAAGCGCTTGGTCTCGTCGCCAGACACCAGCGAGTAGGTCAGCTGACCCAGCGTGTCGGGGTCGACGGCCCGCATCGTGGTCACCGTCTGACCCACGGCCAGTTCCTCCGACACGGACAGCGCGGTCGGCATGTCCTTGAACACCGGCGGACTGTCATTCTTGTCCAAAACGCTGATTTTCACCTGAAACATGAAAAATTAAAATATATGAGACATTTGAAAAAATAAAAGTTTAGAAAGTTGTAAATGATATTAAGTATTTAGCAAGTCAGAAAAGTTTTCGGTTTTATTTCGTGAAGACATTTTATTACCATTTTTTAATTTTAATGTTTATTTTAATGTTTCTTCAAAGTAGCAGAAATTTTTAATATTTCTATCTATGGTTTCCTTAATTTGGTAATTTAATTCTAAAACTAATTCAATTATGCAAAATTAACCTAAATTTTCATTCACAATTTGCTAAAAAAATGTCTTCTTTTCAACTTGTTTTGAATTTTTTTCAGTTAATTATACGTCAATTTACAATGAAATTTATGGCTAACATATTCATGAATAGAATGCAATTCCAATATTTATAATTTAAAAGCTCAACTAGATTTAAAAAAACTAATTAGGTTTTTATGTTAGTAAAATATAATCAATTCACTATTTTATCAAAAATTGCCGACTCTAGTTTATAGTTTGGAGACAAACTACTTATTTCATTTCTTATTTTTCTACTCATTCCTTTCTTGGAATGCAATTAATTATTCGCACGAATTCGAATGCATTCGCAGCCACCTCCATTTATAATTAATTAGTGCCTTTTTTCAGGGTGACTGACTGCACTTGTGACCCTTTTCTGCATGCAGGACGATCGCGATAAAGCCACCTGCATCGAACCAACTAATTAAGCGTTTATATAAAGTCGAGCTCAACTTGGGCATAAATATGAAGTAATTTTCATGGAAAATGAAGAGTTGCGCCAACTTACAAAGTTGCGTGCAAAGTGTGAGACTTAATTCGCTCCGTCTCTTCTCAGGTGAATTAATTTTACACAAAGTAAAGTGTTTTGTAATCACGGCAGCAGCTTTTGAGACAAAGATGGAGTGTCAGTTTTCCCCCGCTGAGCTGAGAGATGAATTTATAGACTTTCCGCGCACTCGACCATATTTCATCTGCTAATTATATCAGATGCTGCTTTCTCTTATGCAAAACAGGACACTCGCATTTTTATTTTAATTATTGAAGTCGTGACCCTGCTCAAGTGGGTTCTAATTTCTTACTTAATTAAGCACAGAGAGACGCTTAATTTGCATTGTTTATTTATCTAGGGACAAGAATAAGGCTTGTTGTTTTATACTTTGAACAAACAATGGAAAGTGATAATTCAGGTAAATGAACATTTATGGAAGGCCAAGTCGTCATTAACCAGAACAGCAGTTTGATTCATTAAGTGTATAATTAACGTAAAATAAATTAAATTAATTTTGAAGGATTTTCTACCACTTAAATTTGAGCAATTTAAAATTAAAATATTATTCAAATTGCAAAAGTCAGCCAATTTTTTATTTCACTTTTGAACCTTTGGATGAAATTCATCCTCAAATTTCATGAGAATTACGATTAATAAAGTTTCATAAGAGGCCTTTTGAAATAAACATATCTGTAAATTTCAAAATTATTCGCCTCTCTAATAAAATCTGAATGTAGAACCACTTCTGCGATGAATAATAATGACGCCAGGAACGCCTCGCCAATTATATAAAACTGATATTTTACGGCTGCAACTTTACAATCCATAAATTCTGCTGCCCTTTTGTGTAATAAAAAATGGCACTCGCTTTTTTTTCAGAAGCGGAATAATATTGTAATAATTAGCACCGGGATCGAAATCCCATTCAAACCGCGGCCCGAATTATATTATATCATAAAACGTGCAAAGTATTCGAGAGAGGCAAAAATATGGCAGAAAATTCCAAACACACCCATGCGAGCAGCGCGTTTTCCACTCGTAAATTTGTCATAAATTGCGGCGGGCGCGATTAGTCCGAGTAATATTTTGGCCTTTACTTATTAAAAGTCGTAATTTTGATATTTTCGCACCTCGCCTCGCTCGCCGCGGCCACAAATCACGCGCGCCGTTGCTACCAGCATGGGCGCCTCGGCCGCGCGTCCCGCTGCGGACTTGGCAAAAACTCACTTTTCGGCCGCTTCGCATAAATCAAAACTAATTTGAATTCGCCGCCGCCGCCGCGCGACTTTTGTTGTGTGACATCACATCTCGGGCCAGCGGTAGCCGCGCACGCAAATATATATATATTTTTTTTCGCCGCAGCTCAGACGTCTCAAGGTCCGCGCATAAATAATAAAACGGCCGCTTTGACAGGCCCGGCTTTTTGCACCGCGTGTTTATTGGTGCATTTTTCGAGAGGCCCGCGGCGGCGCTAATTAGGGGTTGCGCCAAATCGTCTCCCAATTTAATGCCCCTTCAACGGAACCGGACATTTGCCGCACTAATACATTATATACGCCTGATAAATGGCCCAGTTTAAATTTATCGCTCTAAAAAAATGTATCAATCGCCAGAGGCAAGTTTGCTTCAAGTGACACAATTTAAGAGGAGGGGCTGTAAGAAAAAAAAGATTCATAGAATTTTGATTGGACAACAAATTTAAGCTTATCAGATTTTTAAACTCAAATTGGGTGTCTAGAGAGGCATCTTTACAGATTGTGAGACCTGAAAAAAGGGTCCTCTCTCTCTCAATTTTAAGTTGTGAATTTTTGAATTTTCTTTAACTTTGGAACCGTTCAAGTTACAATAATGATTTTAACTTTTTCTGGCGTAACTTTTTACGCTGAACATCTTTTCTATTGACATCAAAATCGTGGCTCAAAAGGGCCATGTCACTTTTTGGCAATTTTCTAATGAAAGTCGAATTTTGACAATGATATCCTTTTGTTCAATTTTTTTGGTGGTATAAAAAATGTAGCTTGTGATATTTTACGTCGGCCCTGTAATTTTCAGAATGGTCATTTTCTCCGTTTCGGAGATGATTTAGAATAAAAATTAAAATCTTTATTATATGTGGTCAAAAATAATTAACAATTATCATGAACAAAATAATGAATTCTTAAATAAAATAAAATAAATGAAATTTATTTCCAATCAAGTTGGCAAAATAAATCAAAATGTAGTTCGGAATAAAAAAATTTTAATGGAAGTTTATTTGTTACCGAAATAACTGTTACAGGGAAATGAGATTTAGCAGTTTGTCAATTGTGTACTTCTGAATAAATTATAGTACAAAGGGGCCTCAAACATCTCAGTTTTTTGTTTGGCCTAAATTTCCAGAAGACATAATGAAGTTTAATCTGATGCTGATGAATTGAATTACTTTGGATTTTGTTGGACAAAAACTTCTTTTTCCGTTTTGTGATGAGAAGGAAAAAAGCAGACGTCACGTTTGATGCAATTCTTTCTTTCTTTCTTTCTTCCTCTCCCGAGCGCGACTCCATAAATTATTGAAAAGCAGACAATAGTGTCTCCATTCGAGAGCTGGACTAACTGTACCGTGTAAACAAACATCGCGCGCAGGTGATTACAACAATGCAGCGGCCAAACAAGAGACGCCGGCCGTGCACTTTTATCCTAAATTCCAATCTGCCGCTGCATAAATAAATAAACAAATATGCAACCGAGAGAAGCATCTTTTTTTTGCTCCTATCAAAAGGCATCTTTTCCATACCTGCTTGTGATTTTAATTAGGCGCAATTATCATCGTCGCCAGCATTGTTTATAATTAAGTGCGACGCTGTTAATTAATCTTTCACGAGAGGACAAAAAGCTCTAGGAGAGTTTTATAAAATAAATTCGCTGGCTAGGTAGGTGTGCAGCGAACCCTTCGTTAATGGGCCGCGTGTCAAGAGATAAGTGCAGGCAGCCTCGATGATGCTGCACTTATACCGCGCAGAGGTCACTCGTGACCCCTCGTCAGGTGCGGCTGACGTCACAAGCCCTTCTTAAAACTCTCGTTTTTCGCTTTGTCTCGCCATTTGTTGTTCTTTGAAAGTGCCGCCCGAGCTCTTTACCAGAATGAAGTCTGCATCTGAGGCAAAACTCTTTGTTCAAATCGATCTCGGCTTCTTTTACGGACAACAATGTACTGGGAAATTATTTTGCCCTTTTTGATCTAGCACAAACTCGGTTTGTTTGATCTTTCAATTAATCAGCTCTGATTTTTTTTATTATTTTATAAATGAATTATTACTTTCTTATGAGGTATAAATTGTAATTTCATTGCAGGTAAATAGTTTTTAAGGTAGACTGATATTAATGAGTCGCCGTTATTTGTCCTGAAACTGATTTCTCTATTTGTCCTAAAAGCAAATTTTCTAAAAAAGGTATTTTATATTTCATTTGCCCAGTTCATTAAATTTAAATGCATTCAATTATGCTTTCAGTTTCAATAAAATTTATGAATGTAAATTATATCAGACCAAATTCATTTCATCCCAATCAAAACAAAAGCAAAATTTGCATTTCTTTTAATAAGCTGTTCTGAAAAATTATTTATTGCCTACATCAGTTCCTCTTAAAGTTTTTTTCAGTCAAATTTGAGATTTTTTTAATTTCTTACAAAACATTATTAATTAAATGTCTTTAAATATTAAATATCTTTTGAAACTTTTAGTTGCATGACATGAATATGTCAAGTTTGAAAGAGAAACCAGATTTTGTTTGCAAAAATAATCCACCGGTTTTTGGTTTCACCTGATTTCTACAGATTTCGCCTCCTTAAAAGTTCACTCGAGAGCTTTTGTTTCACCGGTTTCCCTTAATATTCCATTTTATAAATGAAAAATGTAGTGGTTTTGTGACGAAGCCGCAAATTATGCTCGAAACAGCTGTTGAAAAGTGTGTCCCACTTACAAACGATTAACCGTGGGTGGAATCGGTTGCGGTTTCTGTATTCGGATCGAATTTCTTCTTAGAAGTTTGGGCCCGGCTTGTGGGCCCGGTGGGCACGCGAGAAAAGGGCCAGCCCATGGAGGGAGGGGCCAGCGCGCATTTTTATGCAAAAAAATAAGCCGTGTGTTGTTATGAAGAGCGAGCATCACGCATGTATGATCATCATCGGCGGCAGCATGTGTGCGAAAAACCAGTAAAGACCCCTGCGAGGCACTCGGCGGGCTGCCCTGCC